CGATGTCCCGCGGGTCGATGGGCGGAAAGGCATCTTCTTGATGGATGGGCGGGGCCTCGTGAACGATGCCGTCTAGGGCGCCAGGCGCAAAAGGAAACAATTTCTGGTAGCAGTCCTTTCCAGGAGTGTTGAAATGTCGATAAGGCTCGAGCGGGTTCAGCCTCTCAGAACATCTGAAGCAGAAGTGCGTCCTGCAATTGCCGCAAGTCATGTGGTTGCAACCAAACGACAGCTCGATGCGAACATGACAAGTTGGGCACTTTTTGGCGTTGGAGTCCAACCAGGCTTCGTTGGCTTGTCGCTCTGTCTCTTCTTTGACCAGCCGTTGCAGGTTGGAACGACCGTAGCGAAGCTCCATCTTGGTTGCGCCTTCGGAGCCAGCTTCGTACGACATGTACTCCTCAATCAGAGCGACGCTAGTGCTTAGTTGACAAGGAGCTCTTCCATGCCTGCGTGGGGAAGTGCGTCGGACTCAATGCGCCATCCAAGTATCTACCAACTTCACCGCACAAGGTACTCGGTCACAGCATAGAGCTCGACTCACCAGGTCCTATTGCACCAAGCACACCAGCAGAATCCGCACGCATGACACTCTCTCATTGTCTCATAAGCAGTCCCCTCGTCCGCTTTGTTCTTGACGACGATGGCCTGGCAACCTTGTCTGGGGCAGTGGGCTGCAGTCGGGTCTGCTTCAGCTGTAGCCTTCTGCCTCAACCAGCTCAGCCTTCCTAGCTGCTTCTCGCCGACCAACAGTAGCAACTCTGCATCCGTAATGCTGCCTATCGATGACTGCTCCTGCTTCTGCGCGCCGTCTGCCTGGGTCCTCTTCTCTAATTGCACTCTAGCCTGGGTGCACTCCGGGTCTGGACAGCTGCCCGCTTGCCTGTGATAGCCTTCCTCGATCATGCTTCCGAGATAGTCCCGCAGACACTCCTTGCAGAATACGTGCTCGCAATGCCGTAATCTGAAGCATTTGACTCCTGGTCTCTCCTCCAAACATATGCCACAAGCGTAGCGTTCGCCTTCAAAGGCGGTCTCGGCCGCTCTTGTGTTATGGGAGACTAGGACGGATGCGAGGCGAAGATGCTGGTGGGGCTCCAAGTGCTCCGTAAACAGTAGGTCGGCTTGATCGTCGTTGAACGGGCCGAGGTCTTCCGAGCTCCATAGACCTTCCCTAAGCCACTCCGACCACGCATACAAGACCTCCGCGCGGCTCTCCTCCCATATGGCTGCCAGCTCACTACTTAGCCATCTGCAAATCGGATCGCTCTCTATGCTCGAGCCGCTTGATGGCTGCCCGAGCCAAGCGGCTGTAATTTGTTCCACCACGGGTGCTTGATGGAAGGGATAGCTAGCTGGTAGCCGTACATGAAGCTGCACTGGAGGCAGGTGGGTTGCTTGAATGCACTCTTCGGACAGCAGCCTGGACCCTGATGTGTCGCTGGCAG